TTTTGAATTGATTCAGAACATCGAGGCAGCTATGACTGAACAACAAAAGAGGACTTCCAGACCTGCTTCAGAAAGTGGCAAGAAGGATGAGATAAGTGTGTTCAAAGTGAGGGGGAATATTTTGAGGGGAATTACTTCAATGTGTCTTTTACTTTAGTAAATTTTCTTTAAAAATTAAAAAAAAATTCAACTGCAGATTGAACAAGAATAAAGCCAATGGAGTAACAATCCCTAGAAGTTCAGAGGGAAGGGGACTTCCCCCAGACAGCCATGTTCCAGAACAGGCAAGACACTGACTTCTAGGATAAGGGGAAACTTCTCCTCTTAGCTTGCAAGTTGGAGAATGTAATTACCAGCCAAGACTTTCCTTGAACTCTGTCAAAGTTTAACTGGGATGATGACTGGAATTAAGTACTGGAGAGTCCAAGTGGAAAATGCTCTCATACTCCTGAAATCACTGCACTGGTTTTGTGTGTTGGAGATGAGAGCCAGGATTTTTGATGTGGTGTAGGGGGAAAAAAAAGTGTGTCCACAAGATCCTACTCTTTAAGGAAAGAAGTCCGCTTTCTCTGTGCTGCTTTTGGTGGCATTTACCCGTTGGCCCTCCCACACGTTGCCCTCTGCAGTTCTGATAGGATGGCTGCTGACCAGCTGTCACTCCGTCCAGAATCCACTCTTTGGAAAGTGGCCAGCAGCTTCGAGGAGGGGCAGGCTGGGCCTGTGTCTCATCTGTGTGTACCTTCCCTGCCAGGTATGCTGGGCACCCTTTGCCAGGTCCATTAGGAGGGCAGGTGAGTTTACCCAGCCTAGATCACCAACTAGGAAACCTACCAAGACTGTGTCCCTCAAAACAGTGCTTGGGTCTGTCCTCCGGGTGACTCACCAAATACCAGGCAAGGCCAGAAGCACTGGCCACAGCCTCTGATTTGTGGGTTCCTAGGGAGCTCTAGGCACCTGAAAAAATGTAGGAAGGTCTAAATTTTTGCTTCCATATGTAAGGGGGGTGGGAAAGAGAAAGAGTAGGGATTATAATTTTTAGATATTAAAGGAAATGGGGGTGCAACCTATTATATTTAGGAATTCAGACTTAAGGACAAAACTGCTTGGGTTCAGACCCTGGCTCTGCCACTCTTCAGTTATGTAACTCGGATCAAGTCATTCAGTCTCCCTTTGCCTCAGTTTCCTCATCTATAAAATGAGAATAAATAACAGTGATCTCTACCTTTTAGAGTTACTGTGAAGATTAAATCATTTGGGGTTTTTTTGTCCAGTACTGGGGCTTGAACCCAGGAAGAGCTGAGTTATATCCCAGCCCCTTTTAAATTTTTATTCAAAAATATTTATTTTATTTTATCTTTTTAAGTTGCCCAGGCTGCCATCAAATTTGCCTGACTCAGCCTACTGAATAGCTGGGATTACAGGCAAGCAAGTGCCATCTCAGCCAGCCATGAGTTAATGTTTGTAAAGGACTTAGAACAACACATGGAACACAATAATCCATACACTTGTTTGTTAAATAAAAAATTAATGGAATTTTTCTTATCTCCTCTTCCTAACTCCCATGACCCCCACAGTCAAATCAAGTTGAATGTATATACCTGATCTTTTGTTCTTTCTTCCAGTGATTTTGTCCTTAGCACCTGTCTTGCCACTCCCAGCCTCTGGATCAGTTTCTCAGGGGAGCCATAACAGATTCCATGAACTTTGTAGCCTAAAACAACAGAAGTTTATTCTCTCAACAGTTCTGAAGGATAGAACCCCAAATCAAGGTGTCAGCAAGGTTGGCTTCTCCTAGAACCTTGGAAGCATCTGTTCTATACTGTTCTCCTTTAGCTGCTTGGGTTTCTCTGGGCCCTAGCAGATGCACTGTGTTTGTCCTTACATGGGCAGCACATTCTGTGGTTCTCTGCAAACCTCACCACTCTGTCCTCTTTGCCTAATTCTTGATTTGTGGATGGCCCCAAAGGACTTTGCAACATCTGCTTTCTTCTTGTTTCCCCTGACAGTCAAATGCTTTTCCATCTTATTTCAAAATGTTCTAGTGAAGACCCAATCCAATTTTTCTGGAAACTATGAATGGCTTGTAGAACTCAATCTGATTTTGAAAAGACTTGGCACCTCCAGTGAACTCTACTCCTATTATTGCTTTACTTCATTGAGCCAGAAACCCATAGAGACTTTCTGGGTGACCCATCGCAGGGAAGCCTGTCACCACCCTTGCACACCCCCTTCCCCCCAAGTCAGCATTTTATGAACACGTCTGCTATTCAAGTTCACCATTTTATTTCTCATCCATGTCACTGGTCTAAATCCTTGAACCCAACGCACTCACCTAAATGAGTAACTCTATTTCTCCCTTTTTTTGTGATCCATATCTCCATCTTTCTAATGTCCACGTTCAGTGATTAACTCACCAGAGACATGCCAAAGTGATTCCAGCTGTCACCAGGACACACTTAAAAGTACTTGGCAATTTTGGATCCTGCTTTGAACTCAATGGATTGATAATCTTAAATTACTTAAATTTATCTCTTTAGTCTGACCCAAATCCCTTTCTCTGCTCTTCAGGCAAAGTTAGGCACAGACTTCCTCTAAGCTTTATTAAGAATATTCTGTAAGTGTTCTGTTTGGTTTTTACACTTCACGTAACTCTTAAAATCAATATTTTGATGACTGAAGTGTAAATGAATAAGAAACATGGAATAAGTTCTCCTTTCAATTACATGAACAGAAATTCTGTGTGTTTTTATCGGAAACCCAGGCAAAGTAACTGGAGGCAATCACTAAGCTCCCAGTAAAATCTTGGGGGTCCCTCTCCTTTTGGTTTTGGTTGTGCGCTTTTGTAAGGAGAGTCCCAAACCAAAGTGGGCTCTATGGTCTTCTCTGGCTTTCCTACTATTTTTCATCCTTTTGGAGCGCTGTTAAATTACTATTGTTCCTTTTTTTCCCCCTGAAGATCTCAAAATCGGTGCAATCCCAGGCCTCCACACAAACAATACCATTTAGGTTCTGTTGAATTGGGCCAGAGGACAAGGTTAAAAATTAGTTATGGCTAGCTGGGCATGGTAGCATATATTGGTAATTCCAGCACTCTGGAGGCAGAGGCAAGAGGATTGCTGTGAGTTCAAGGCCAGTGTGAACTACACAGCAAGACCCAATCTCAAAAAAATTAGTTATGGCAATTTTCTTTCTCAATAAGGAAACAGAAATATACTTGCATCCTTAAAGTGGGCTCTTTTTTTTTTTTTTTTTTGGTCAATTATTGCTTTTAGTTTGTTTATGGCAGTGCAAGTGAGCTTGGGGCAACTTGTCTTCAAGAAGGAGACAACCTGCCTGGTGCTCTAACTCAAAGAGTTAATCAATCAGAGAGGGAATCAGTTCATGACATTCTGAAAGGCTGTGGCCCTATGTCTTGACTTCTGCTTTTTTTTCCTTCTTTTTTCAATTTTCTTTCCACTATTTGGTTATAAACCCTTTTTAAATTTTTTGTTTTGGCACTGAGGATTGAACCCAGGGCTTGTGCGTGCCAGCTAAGCAGTCTACTAGCTCTTTTTACTTTATTTTGAGACAAGATCTCACTAAGTTGCCTAGGCTGGTCTTAAATTTATGATCCTCCTGTTTCAGCCTTCTTGGTAGCTGAGATTACAGGTGTGTGCCACTTCACCTCATGGCTATAATGCTTTTTGTGCAATAATAAAAATCAAATAATGTTTTATTTAAATTTTAGTCTGTATCCTTTTGGCAGCTGTAGCAATAATAGTAATAACAGATGGTTTTATCCACCACTAATAGCCAAAAGAATTATATTTCTCCTTCACAGAGATATTTACATGTAAGGTACCAGACTAGCAATCTAAAATCAGAGCATACTTTTTCCAGAACAGACAACACAAAAACAATTGACTTCTATATTTTTTTCTATATTTCACATCTGTCACGTTATATGTTCTGTCATTATAACCCAAAGTTCTAATGTTTCACGTGTCTTCCATAATATCTTACAATTGCCAAGTTTATGGATCCCCTTTGTTGGTTGTATTTTGGCTTAGCTGCTTCTTTATTATCTAACATAAATGGGTCTCTTTCCTACCCCATTTGATTGGTAGTGACTACTTGGAACTATAATTCTCAGCCCTTGCCACATTAAAATCATTTGAGGAGGTTTTAATAACAGATGCCACCCCCCTGCCCCCACCCCCCAGGATTTCAGAATCTAAAGGCTGGGCTCAGGCATGTTTCAAATCTTCCTTGGTGATTGTCATGCATGGCCAAGGTGAAAGATCATCCATCTGGATCAGGCTCACCTGGACAGCTTGTTGAAAACAAATTTCCAGGCCCATCACCAGGGTTTCTGATGCAGTAGGTCTGCAGTGGGTCTCAAGAATGCACATTTCTAACAAGTTTCTGGATGATGCTAATACTGCTAGTTGGGGGTCCACACTTTGAGAACCACTGTTGTGAAGTATTATGTTGAGGAATCTGAAGATGAATTAAGGAAAAGAGGATCATGATTTGTTAGTCATGGCTGCTATGGTCACAGGAAGGAGCAATTCTATTTGTTAACTTCACTCTTGAGAAACATATCAGTAAACTTCTCAATAATAATGCAAAAGTTGGTTACTCCTTGAATGATTCCCTCTTTGCAGTTAATTCTACTCATGTTATGATAGTTTGTTCCTCAACCCACTGCCCACATGTCCCAGCCAGGTCTAGAATCTGGTCTAGAAGCTGGTCTAATGATCTAGCATGGTGCTCTTCTACCTATTGCAATCTGCTCTTGTTTTCCTATAAGCATGAGTTATTTTATCCAATTTTCTGGCTGAGACCTAGCAAAGGAGTTCCAGAACAGATGAATTTTAATGTCATAGCCTAGAAGAAGGCTTCAGATGATCAGGGAGCAACATCAGGGCCAAGGAGGAGCTACAGAGTGCAAAGAACCCAACCTTATCGACTTTAGAACCTATCCTGAGAATCTTAAGTACTTGCTTGTCTTTTCTCAGTTCTGAAAGCCTCTACTGACCAGAAAAGCTGCCCAGAAGCTGAAGCCAACAATGGTCAAGCTGAAACTTCAAGCACCTTTCCTGCCATCACTGAGAAAAATCGGTGAGTCTCACTCATGCAAGTTCTCTGTTGTAAACTCAAGTGTTCCGTTACAGTGGACAATGCAGTGTTTCCACCACTATGTAATTTTGGAGAGTTGTTGAGAATGGAGCCAAAAGTGTCTCCCATCAGATTCTGCCAATAAAGAGGTGATCACCTCGTCTTTATTGTATAAGAGCTACCTGAACTCAGTTCTGCTTTTTGAGTTCTTGTCACGGTAAAGCCTGTACTTGGCCTTACTGGCTTAAATTAGTGGTTCTCAACTGGAGGAAGTTCCTCCTGCCCCACCAGACACTTGGCAATGTCTGCACATTTGTGGTGGTCACAACTTTGGGGGGAAGGGTTATACTACTACCGTGTAGCGGCCAGAAACAAGTGATGCTCTTAAGGATCCCAGAAAACATGCCATTATGTCCTTGCAACAAAGAAGTGTCCAGTCCAAAATGCCAATAGTCCTGAAGCTGAGAAACTTTAGGTTACTTGCTCAAATATCCAAAATAGTTTATTCAAGGGTACTTAAGGAGAAGAACTAACACCTCCCATTAGAATAACAAAGTTTAGAATTTCTAATCTGGCAGAAAGATCACTGAATTTCCCAGATACAAGATTTGGGTTCTGGTCTTTGTGCTAACATCTTCCAGCCATTTGACCTTGGCCAAATCAGTGATCCAACTTGGAAAATGAACTTCAGCCTGACTCCCCTCAATCTTGATAATGACTGACTTTACTGAGAATATCTGAGCCCTTCCCATGTCCTTTTCTGCACCTTGCATCTCTTCTTCTCTTCACTGACCTTTTTTCCCTTGTTCTCATCTCCTGGACCACAAGTCTTTCTTGCATAGTGTTCCAGCCCCGCAGGCCCTACCACAGTGGGCACTGTAAAGGGAAACTCAAAGTTTTCCTTGAAAGGTTTGACAATTGAGTTTGCTGAAAATGAATGGACAGTAGATTAATAGGAGAGAAGGCATACAAATGTATTAACATGTACTTGTGCATAAGAACCACACAAAATATGAAACTCCAGGGCTCGATGCCTGAGGCTTAGACATCCTCTTCCTAGGGGAGAGGCATAGGCAGTCTTAGTGGAAGGGAGTTTTAGAGAGAGAATGAGCTAGGATTACAGACACTGGCCTGGGACGAAGTTCCTCTGGGCTCTAGGTGTGCTGTTTGATTTTTCAGTCTCTTCCTCTGTGATATGAGTTTAATTTTCCTTGGTTAATGAAATTTCAGTAAGAGGATGGAAGGTTGTTGTGCTCCTCTTTGGTGGATCTGGTCTGCTGGTAGATAAGAGTTCAGATAAAGCCCTTCCTGCATTTGTTGCCTCTGAGGTACAGATGTCAAGTGTCACTTGCTGAACCTCTGCAGCACACATGTTGCTCTCCCATCCTTCCCACTCTGCTATCTCTCCCCGTTTTGCTTTCACCAGGCCCCATCATAACAAAATCCTGCCTTAGCCTAGTCCCTACCTCTTCCTGCTTTTACCAGCAGACTTCCTCAGACCAGCGTTTGGGTCTGCTGCCTCATCGCTCACCAAACCAATCCCTCCTGCCTTAACCCTGTAATAGGTGCCTTCACCGTGTCCCTAAGCCTGTCCTCAGGAAGCTCAGCTCCAGTAACCTCATCTTCACCAGACTCTTTGTGGCATTCAGCAGCATGGGCCACACTTCCTTGAATTGTCCCCAGGAGTCTGCAGGACTGTTTTCTTCAGGTTCCTCCCCAAGCATATCCTTAGTCTCTGTTTTCTCTGGCTCCTTCTCTGCTACCCACCATGGGAAGGCAGGCTATTCTCCATGTCCTGGACTGTCCTCTTTCCCTACTTCACCCGAGTGCTGTCATCTCACTGGTGTCAGCTCTCAGCTGCACAAGCTTGAGTCCCAGATCTCTGTTCTGACCTCCATCCCCACTCCCACCGCCTGCTGGACACGTGCTCCTGATTTACACCCCAGGCCTCTGCAGAAAATCGCCCATGAAAGTATCTCCACCAGACCTTGGCACTCTGGCCTTGAAATCCAGCACTGTCATTGTTGATTCCAGCCTCTCACTTAAGCCCATCTCCAGTCACTTTTTAAGGTCCAGGTCTGCATTGACTTCTTTCTTACTCCTTCTCTCCTCTTTTTTTTTTTTTTTTTTTGGTACTGGGAATTGAACTGGGGTCCTTGCGCTTGTGTAGCAGGCAGCAAAACCACTGAGCTAAATCCCCGGCCCTCTCCTTCTCTCCTCTGAACAGACCAGCTTTTCTGACACCCGATCGATTGTCCTACATCTTATTCTTATGTGTTCAAAGGACTTTAATGGCTTCCCATTTTAGGTCAAAATCTGCTATCCCACACCTCTCCCTTCCTGCTCCTGGTTGTCTCCAGGGCTCACCTCCAGCTTGTCCCTGTACCCACCCCGTGGCTAGCTGGAACTAGACTTGTTATTCTGCCAATGCACCTGCCCATTTCTTCTTTTCTTCACTCATTTCTTTTTGTTCAACTCTTCCCTTTTCATCAAGATACATCTTCATGGCCTTTTCTACTATGAAGGCCTTAATCTCTTTAACATTCCTTCAGCCGTAGTCCATTTGCAAAGGTGCTGTTTCACCACAAGGTAATGAGCTTGTTCCCAATGTAAATCAGCCCACTGCTTTCTTCATCAAGAAAGTCTTGTTACAATAAAGAAGCAAACAAACAAGCCAAACTCAACAGTGATGATTTGTATCCTGGCACAAGCTCCTTATGGCATTGTGTGTGGTAACAATGCACAGACTGGGTCCTCAGACCACACTTTAGTTTATCAACTCTAGCTTTGAATTTTGTCTGGTGTTGTGGATGATCACATACTAGGAAGTTAGCTTCTCACAGGTGAAGACTGGGTCTTATTTATTTCTTCCTATAGCTAATATACATAGCAGGCACTTGCTGAATTAATGGGGCTGACTTCCAAGGCCACTTCTCAGGACCTAGATTTTAATGAAAGAAATGTTCTTCTTGTATAGTCCGTGGGTGGTGGCAGCAATAAGAAGATCCAGCATAATTAATCAGACAGGGTTGTGGCATCCCTGTTCCAGAAGCTGGGACCCTTTTATCCCTCTGTGTTTAATTGCCAACTCAATGTTCTGTGGATCAGTACAGAGCTGATAGAAGGGAATTCTTGGGCAGGGATAGAGGGGCCAGGGGGAAGGTAGAAAAAGAAGACAGATGAGTTGTCTAGTGACGACGTTCTCAGTGGCAAGCAATAGACCTCCAACCAATAGATTCAAGGATCCCTTGGGACAAGTGGTCAGCCACTGGGGGATACCATCAAGGATACAGCCCCCTTGCATCTCTTTGCTTTGCTAGTCTCAGCATGTTGGCAGTGGCCCTATTTAGGACCTCAGATGACTGAAGGAACACTAAGCATCCCTTCCTCACATGTCAAGGTCTGAAGTGGGAAGAAAGAGCAGGCTGGGACAGGGTTCTCTTCTGGGATTTCTCTCCAGACTTTTCCAGAAGTCCCCCAGGAGACTTGCCTTGCATGTCATTAGCTAGAATTTCCAGTAGTGGCTCTGCAGGGGAGCTGCAGTGCGGGCAGGGAAAGTGCACGTTAGCATTTCAGCTTCTACAGGAGAAAGTAGGCAAGGGAGGAAGGGACTGAAGAAGCAACCAACCGCGTGTGCCTTAGAGTCCTCAGGGGCAGTGAAGCAGTAAATAAGTATCTACCATGGAAAGACAAAAGGAAGGTAAACTGGAGGGAAGAGTTCGTAAGGAAGACCCAGAACTGACCAGAAACACTGCTGAGAAGACCAACAGAAAAGTATTGAGGTCACTGTTCCAACTCACCCAACACTTTCTGCGAGGCCAGGCTTTCCCATACATGATCTCCTCTCCTTCAAACACCAGTCTTTTTTTTTACTGACTCCATGTTACAGATGAGTAAACTGGATCTGGTGACGGCTAAGACAAGCAGCTTCCAAATGCTATTTTAGTACCTAGTGTTGGGTTGCTGGGACATAGCTCAGTGGTACAGTGCTTGCCTAGCATGTTCAAAGCCTTGGGGTTGATTCCCAGCACTTGGGGGTGGAAACCAATGTGCTTAATCTGATGTGTCAGATTTACCTAGTGCTGGCCCTTATTGGCTAGTCTGGAAATCATGGGATCACTCAGTGCTACACAGATATGAATGGCAGGTCTGGGGTTTGTTTTGTTTGTTTTTGGTACCAGGGATCCAATTCGGGTCCTTGTGCTTACGCAGCAGTCGGAGAAACCACTGAGCTAAATCCCCAGCCCAGGTCTGGGGTTCCAATCCATATCTTTTTGTCCCCAACAGTAACAACAACAGCTAACTTGGTATTCTCTAACATCCTCCTGTGCACTGGGTCAAGTGTATTACATGCATTAAACTAGCCAGTGTGTGGAAGAGACACACATTTTATACTCCTGACATTAGAGAGTACATTTAGAGATTAACTTGCTAATGTCATTTAGTAAAGTGACATAGTCAGGATTTGAACACAGGCCTTCTACTCCAGCACCCACACTTTGTCTTACCCCCAGTACTGTGGATTGAACCCAGGACCTTAAATTTTGACACAGATCTCTCTAAGTTGCTAAGTTGCCCAGGCTCAGGTAAAACTTGCAGTCCTCTTGCCTCAGCTTCCCAGAGCCCTGGAATTACAGGCATGCACACTATACCTGGCTAGCACCCATACTTTTAACTGGTATAGTCTACTAACTATCTAGGGTCAGGGCTCCAAAGGATAGTCCAGGGCCTTTTCTGGTGCACCCATGTTGTCTCTATACTTGTCATTACTTAAATCTTAGACCACAGCTGGCTAAGGGATACACCTTGACTGACATAAAACTGTCACCCTGTGACTGATGGAGAACATTCCAGCACCCTGTTCCTGGGAGAAGGCCTACAGCCTCATAGGAAAGGTGCTTGTGTGCATGACAGGCTGGGGAGAAACCAGCCTGGTGGGGTGGTCAGGGGGAAGCAGAAGGCAGCCTGCAACAGAGTGGGAGTAGTCTTTTTAGGTGGTGGGC